GGTGTACGGAACATGTCACGTCAGTCCGCCTCGGCGCTGCAGGCACCATGTGATCTACCGTACGAACGAACAACGTGTGTACAGGAAAAACATCACCCCGGTGCGCGTCTTGCCCCGATAGTGTAAGAAAAACTGTACAGTAGTACCTTGAGACAATGCCGTGAACTGCTTGATAGTTGCACGTAACGAACATCCAGCAACGAAAAATAATTTGACATTGCACATGTGAAAGACGACTGCTTGCAAGGCTTGAATTTCACAAGTGTCGAATGGCAAATGACGTGGGCCGACCAGCCGGGAAAACGTTGCTCAAACGATATGCAGCGGCAACAACGAACGAACATATGTGCACAGCTCGTGGAGAGCTAACGATACGACCTTCTCATGCGATCGCGCAATTGAGAGGTGCTGCATAGACGAACGACGATGAATGGTGATTACGAGTACAGCAAACGATGTGCTGTAGCATGGATTTGACGCAGTAGTGGAACGAAAGTCTGGTCCTCTTGTGCTCCCTCTTGCACGGCCAAGACCACCATTCACTCTTTCGCGATGGACGACACGCGAGAAACGATGTGTTGGGCGAAAATCCACAACACAAACGACAAGACAAATCGGGCATGAACAACACCGTGTGAACAATGCAAAAGTGCATGGATCCAGAGGTCGATTGTCAATTGCAATTCCCCCAAACTGCAAGTGAGACGATGTCACCCCCCAATTCAGGACGGAGTGGACGAGAGAACGACGAACTTCCGATCACGCATATTCGCTCACATAAAGTATCAACTGACCCCATACGACGCACTCGTATCTCAAGGACAGCAACACAACGGCAATGGACGCTTCACACCACGCACGATTGTCTATACACGGACGTACGTTCCAATCATAATTGAAAACGCTTACGGAGCTCGCACGAGGTACTATGTCGTACGGCATTCAAACAGAAAATATATATGTAGTAAAACTAAATCACACAACGAACGGGCAACGCCATGCCTTAAAAATGATGTGCGCTAGCATGCATGTCCGACGAAACGAAGACACGCAACCATGCTTGGTTCGCGGAGGGCGAATCTCGACGCAAACTAGGCTCCGCCTGCCGACTTCCACGAGGTGTTGCATCCAACGTGGGCGTATCCACCAACAACGTCAATGTCCGGCCGGACTGCGACGGAACGTTGGGGACGGCGGGCACTGCGAAACGATCGTGCTGGACGACGAACAACAACATATACGGTACGAAGTATGTACATACAAAAAATATAGCCCTTGTAAAATATGCGAAACACGAAACGAATAAGGCAAACGCAGCACGAGACACAATACGAAGCAGCTACGAGCGCTACTTTCTAGGAGGATGATCAATGGCGTGCGGATTATCACGAAGAACGGACGCTCGATATGAACGGATCATCTCATGATACTCGGGTACTTCTTTCAAGTGCTTCCAACACCCAAGACTCTCAGGACGGTCTTTGAGGAGGAAATAGTATTGGAAGTTATGGAGAGACGGTTTTCCTGCTCCACGTTCAAATTTGTCTATCCCGTCGACGACGTACGGTCCAATTTTTACGGTACACACGGTACCATCCAAATCGGGAATTGGAAGGGTTTGTCCCAAAAACATCTCATCCAACTCAAAAAAATTGGGCACAGAATCACGTTGAAAAGCATAATACTTTTTCATACGACCCAAGTGTACTGACGTTTCCACAAGTTTTCCGTCTTTGCAAACACGATAGATGACGCGTGATACTGTTGAACGAACGGTAAATGGGCCATGCCAAGGGCTGATCAGCTTGGGATTGGGGCCATCCATAACGGTGTGGGGACGATGTACGAGAACTTGTTCCCCAGGAGTAAACTGCGGTACGGATAAATTTTCGTTCGAGTCTGCTTGCTTGTCAGTTCGCCCTTTCAAATTACGACGAGCGATCTCAAACGCGAGTTGCAAGTTACCCACGGTACGACGTGAATATTCCATACGCGAAGCAGAGCTATCATGAGACGGTACACCAAGAATGACATCCACGGGAAGCAAAGCCTGGCGACCAAACATCAGATAGTGAGGAGTTTCCTCAAGAGTTTGGTTGTACGCGGTGTTTTGGGCGAGTTGCACAAACGGTAAAATTTCAGCCCAATTATCAAACCGAACGTTTGCATACATTGCAAGCATGCCTGCATTGTGCTGTGCACGCGCTCTAATACAGAGTTACCTTGCGGTCGATACGCGGACGTCCGGGTTTTGTTGAAACCAAACACGGCCTGCAACTCTTTAAGCAACTCATTCTCGAACTCAGTGCCCTGATCACTGTGTAACGTTTCAGGGGGAGAAAAAACGGAAAGGACACGCTCTACGAGAACCTGTGCAACTGTTGTTGCTTTTTTATCACGAATAGCAATCAACACGAGAAAATGAGTCAGATGATCGATGACCGACAAGACGTACTTGCAACCCTGCGATACGAAGTTATATTCAACGAGATCGTTCGCGACACACTGAAACGGACGAGTAACGGGACGGTGACCCACAGGTAACCACGGTCGTCTGTGTGATGTTTTTCGGTGTTGGCACGACAAACAATGCTGGATGTGTTTGGACGCATCTCTAGACATGGTCGGCCATTAAAAACAATCTCTGAGTCCATCGTACGTGGCTTTGAACGCTAGATGACCCCCTGACGTAGGAGCATCATGACAAAAATCCACGACTAACGCACGCAAACGGTGGGAACGACAAGTTGATCACGAAACGAACTGCGTTTACGAAGATACCCTGGTAAATACGACCTGAATAGAACGTTCTCATTCAAGAAGTAATTACTCATGGTGCCTTTATTTTCGCTAGACGGTAACGGTGCTGTTATGGGTTTCTTGACGTAGTCGATATACGGACCGAACTCTTTGTACTGTTCGCTTCGCAATTTAGCGGGATCCAGTACAGGAAATAACGATGCAGCACTAGCGAACAGTTCATTGTCATTCTGGACGATATCAACATCGTTCAACGAATCGGCAGAAAATGTCGTAGTCACGAGGGCCAGGAGGATGGTACGGACGATCACTGGGCGCATTCCTACAAGTCGACGCTAGGGCCGGTTTGTGCGATATGGTTTCGGACTCAATTTCGCCAAATATTCGAGATAACGCGTCGGGTACGACATTAAATTTTCCCGCTACGTGTTTGACGGTAAAATCATAATTTTGAAGAGCGATAGCCCAACGAGTGAGCATGTTGCTGGTGTCTTGCATATGAAAAAGATGAGTCAACGCTTGATGACCGGTGATCACCGTAAAGTGTTTCCCAAATAGGTACGGTCGCCGATGCGAAATTGCAAGAACCACACCGTAACACTCTTTCATAGACGCAGAGTAATGACGTTGTCCATGTTTGAATCTATGACTTCATTACGCAATCATGCCAAGAGACTCTGGATCAGCCTTGGACAGCTGGGCAAGAAACGCGCCACACCCGACCCATGTTCGGATGCATCCACATGAACTACGAATTCTCGATCGAAGTCTGAGAAGTGTAGAACGGGCGCTGAAGTTGATAACCGCTTTGGATGAGCGAACGATGCGTCGTGCGATTTGTTCCAAGCGTTTACGAAACGTGATTTTGTGTCATACTCTTTGCGGGTTAACTCCACCAACGGATTGGTTATTTCTGCGTAATCCGGTATGAACCGGCGCACAAAATTAACCACCCCGAGTACTGAGCGAAGATCTTTCAGGCAACGAGGAGTAGGAAAGTTTTGGACGGCTTTAATACGATCCTTCCCGACAGAAATACCTTCAGCCGAAATAATATGTCCCAAATACTCGATGGACTTGGGGCCAAACGAAATCTTCGAAGGTTTTAGTGTCAGACCTGCTGCTTGGAGAGCTACGAACATGCTCTCCAAAGACTTAATATGATTCTCGAAAGTTTTTGAAAGCACACAGAAATCGTCCATGTATATCAACAATTCGGGAAACTGGCCGAACGTTTTATGGGCCATCTCCGTAAAAATCCACGGGGCATTACAAACACCAAACGGCATCCGCTTGTATCAGTACTTGCCAGAGTTGGTGACAAAGGCTGTCCTTTCGACGTGGTCAGGATGAACAGGAATCTGCCAGTACGCTGACTGGACGTCTGCAACGCTGATGAACTTGGCGCTGCCGACAGTCAAGGTTGGACTCCATGTTCGCTAGAGGCGAGGTCTTGCGAATGATGTGCTTGTTGACGGTGCTTCGGAAATCGACGCAAAAACGAGGTTTACCATCTTTACGCGCGACGAGAGTAACGGGGGAACCCCACTGACTAGGCAGCTCTTCGATGATGTCATCGTCAAGCATGTCCTTAACGTACGTTTGGGTAACGGCTTCAGTGTGCGGGTTTGCGCGGTGGGGACGACGGATAACCGGTTTTGTGTTAGGCGGCATAAGAAACGTGGCTTGAGCAGTTGTGCATTTACCAAGCTCCTTACGATTCAGCGAAAAAACGGGACGATATTTTGCGCACAGGTCCAAAATACGAGTCTGCTGTTCCTTAG